CACACACACACACACTCACACACACACACACACACTCACACACACACACACACACACTCACACACACACACACACACACACACACACTCGGATGCTTAAGAAAACTCTTGTCCCATAGAGGACAAGGACAGATCTAGACGTAGGAGATTAGCAGAGCATGGCTTGTTCTAGCCAGGTTACCTAGAACTTTGGCCAGAGGAAGAGAGACTAGCTTTGTGTCAGAGCACAGGCATCTGTGGTCTCATGGCTAAGGCCTTTGCTTTGCACGTGGAAAAAGTTACGTCGATTCCAGCATGGGAAAGATAGTTGATCTCTTAACCCTTTCTACAAAGAAAACCGAAACAGCCAAACTCAAAAGTTGATAGGTGCGTTACACCTAAACTATTTCACAGTTTTTCACCAAACTTCGTCGGCACTTCTATCACCTATTTGTGTTGCAAGTGCCGTAAACCTAGGCTAAACCATACAGCAGTGGCTGTCCCTGGCAGGGTGGAAACAGTCCACCTTTTCTAAATTATCAAAGTTTTGTAAAAATAGGCATTTAAAAAAGCATTTCCACCACCACCAGTAACAAGAAAGAAGAGGCAGAGAGCCCTGCCACCGTGACTTCTGTAACCCCTCTGCTAACAGGTTCCTGTTCTTTGTACCCACGCAGATGGAGGCCCGCTCCTAAGAGAGCCAAGAGTTAGACCCTAGGACATGGGGGCAGTAACGTGTATGCCTTTCTCTTGTTTCCCTTTTTTTTCTTTCCACCTGCATATTAATTTTTATATATATATATATTTGGCAATTTCATAAATTTTTTTGAAAGTACATTATTACTACATTGCGGCTCTCTTCTCTTGTTTATGAAGAGTGGTCCGGTAGATTAATTATACATTCTGTGTTTCTGGTCTTCATAACCATTTTTTCTTTTTTCTACGCTTAAAAGAGCAAGTTTTTTTTACAAGTTATTCAGTGTTATTAAATTTTGAATTCTCTTGGCTAGTGTTTCTTTTGTTGTGTTCCGGAGAGCAGCATGTTTCACTTTACACTATAGTGGTACTAGCAGACGCGTGCATCATACAGTACATTGACATGACAGTATGTGTGTTATTGACATTTGTCTATTTGTATGTATGCACCAGAAGATAACAATAGGAGGGTGAGAGGTAGACTATATACAAGATGCTTCTGTCCCCTACTCTTCTTTTTTTCTTTTTTTTTTTTTTGCCTGCCAATCTGTGGACGTAGCCAGTGTGCATTATAATAAGTTTACCATTTTGTGACCAAGGTGTAGCCGATGAGTCTTTATGTTCTGCTTCATGCAACCAGGGTATAAATACATTGCCTTGTTCTTTTTAGGTCCCCTTCTTAAAGAGTGATGTCTCAAAAGAAACCCAAATTAAACTAAATTTACTCTAATTATAGCAAGACAAACTGCAGAAACCATCATTCATGGTTTAATCGCTGCACATTTTGACAGTTTCTTTCTTTTTTTTTTTGAACAGATAGTTGGCAAAACTCACAGGTTCCCCCTTCTTTGCTGTCCCCCTTTCTGTTTGTCAGTCTTTCTTTTTTCCATGCACTGAATGGGCGTTATTAAAGTCTTTTTTGAACCGGCCAGTCCAAAGTTACTAACACCACGTGGGCAGTCAACATTTTCCTTGGTTATTTTGACATTAACGATATTATATAGTGCTCAGTGTCCCATTTTTAGTTGGGTTTTTTTTTCTTTCTTTTGGTTTCTTCTTTCTTTTGTTCTTTCCAGTCCATTTCTCTGTGGGTCTAACTTTCCACAGGTCAAGCCTTTATAGATGATAGACCCCTTGGTCAGATCCTGTTTAGAGTACCTTTATTTATTTTTGGGCAGTATGTTGGTGTCATCCAAAAGCCATGAGACAGAAAACAGCTAACATTTTGTAGTGCCTGGATTTATTTTAAGTACTGTGGGTTTGTTGTTTTGTTTGCTTTTTTTGGGGGGGGGGGGGGTGTTTGGTTGTTTTTGGGGCCGTTGGCCCCGCGTAAACATCATATAACAAAAGTATATCGGGATGGACTTTAAAAGCAAATAAACTTGTGAACAGTTTGTTTTCATTCCCAAAATTTCTGAGGTTTTTTTTTTTTTTGGGGGGGGGGGGGGATATATAAATAAATTTTTAAAAACATGTTCATGCTATCGTTGAATGTGCGTAATCTAGAAGTCTGACCAGCGACCAGGGAACTGGATTGATTGCTCAGTGGAGGCTATGTCTCGGGGCTCTTGTGATGACCTGTTTTTTTCATTTCTACTTTTAAAATTTGATATATTATTCCCCCTCCATGGCTTTCTTTTGTGATTTTTCTTGGTTTTCAACCCATTTCTTATAAACCGTTACAAGCGAAACAGATTCCATATTTTCTTACTCCAGTTACTCTCTTATTCGTGTTTGTGATTCAACTATGCTTGATTTTACACTTGGCTCCTTCTCCGCAGAGGTTCATTGTCATGTGTGTTGTTCTTCTCTTTGGCTTGGAAGCTGCAGGCAATGCAAAAACTAGTACGATATCTCTCTTTTTTGCGGGTGATTTGTCCCCTCCTTCACAGTCTTTTTCATCTTTTTGGGTTTTTTAATAACTTTTTTACTCTTGTATATCATTGAAGCTTCACCAAAGTGGTTGCTAAGAACACAAATTCCCTGTCACTTTCACCATTTTCTTTCAAAGTTGGTATTAAGATCAAAAGTAAATGAGTAAATGAAGAATTATGAGAGTTGATCTTAGGACTGTTGGTACTTGTTAAATCTTTCAAGTTTTGAGATCAGATATTTGTGTTTACCACCCTGCTGTCATTGGTAGTTGTCACTTATTTTTATGAAGCTGCTTCTGTGTTTGACGGTTACATGAGCTTTAATCTAAGATCATTGCTGTAAGGGACGAAAAAGCAAAGTTTTGGGTGAATGGAAATTTTTCAGGATTGGTGTAGGGTTTATTTATCCCATTGTTTAGTCAGAATATTTCTCTCCCTTAACATTGACAGCAGAATATACCAAGCAAAAAGCTATTAACATCATTGACCAGTGAAACATGCCTTAATTGTCCAATCTTGGGTTTTGTTGAAACATTTGAAGTTTGCCTTTCTTATTCTTGAACACAGTATTCATTAGTCAGTCCATAGGTTACGGTGAGTTTTCACACGCCCAAGACTCACAGACTAAACTTTCTTTTGGGCTCTGTTACGGTCATTGGCAGTGAAGTGTTCCCCTGGGGTGGCTAGTCAAATAGACATGCTTTCGAAATTGTTATTGGTTAGATTACGGTGTAGGAAAGTGGAATCTTGCATGACGTTTTCTGCTCAATACTGTGGGACATTTATAGTATCATTTTTTTTTTTTTATCAAAAGAAAACCAGGATTTAAGGCAGAACTTGTTTGGCATTGGGATCTTAAGGTCCATACCATTATATTCCACATCTCGTAATTTATAATACAGTTCAAGACTGAAATCTTTTCCCTAGAAGCCTACGTATGCCATTTCACTGATATCAGTGAAGAACCACCAAGTGATGGTGAATGCTCTTTGAGCTTTGGGTATTATTGTTTTGTTATAGTGTTGCAGGCACAAGGGCAGTATGTACAGTAGCCTCCAGCTCTGATGTTAGCATGCAGCTTTTGTATTAGTGCTCCCCTGTTTTTTGTTTTCTCTTTCATAGTAAATGCAGGATCGATTTTATGGTCACTATCGTTTTCCCTTCCCATTCACTTATTCAAAACACCTTGGTTTTCCCCTCCCGAGACATAGATTTAGTAGTGTTATTGTGTGCTGTAGAGGAAAGGCTTCAGTTTTTTTGTTTTGTTTTAATTTTTGTCATCAGATCTTTTTGTTTCTTAATTTCTTCCTGTGTCAAGTTTTGATCTGTGGGTATTAGACTGACTGTAAGGACAGCTCCTCTCTCTGGTGCATGTGGGTTCTCTGTGACTATGTCGGTCGTAATGACAGAAAGTCTGTATCACCAAGTCTATCTCTGCTGAGCTCACAGTGTTTCTCTCAATCATCAGTTGATGAAATGGAAAGGACTGAACATTAAATTTAAAAAACATTCCTACAGTTTTCTTCCTTGTTTTTCTTTATATCTCACTTAAGTCTTGTCTTTTGATTTTTTAGATATAGAACTTATTTTGTCTTACTTGAATAGTTTTGATCTTTCAAACATGTTTTGTTTTCATTTTTCAGAGACTGTAAGATCATACGGGACCCAGCCACCATGAAATCCAAAGGCTATGGCTTTGTTTCATTTGTGAATAAACAGGTAACAGCTTGTGTGTGTACATTGTTGCTGATCAGTTTCTTGTTGTGGGTTTGGTATCTTTTCTCTGATTCAGAAGTTACCACTTTAAAAACTAGATTAACAGTGTGGTATTTTGTTCTCAATAAGTTTACAATTTGTATTTGTACCCGCTGTGCTCAAGATGGGGAGAATGTCAGTTCTTATTGTATAGAAATGGGGAATTGAAAAATGTAAACTATCTCAGCCCTTGAAAATGTGTCAATTTGATTTCTTCTGTAGGCTGAGTCCCACCTAAAAAGCTTTGAAAATCTTTCTTACCTCTGTTTTTGGAGTTATATTGTGTCTTTATTTTCTTTCCTTTATGTATTTGGTTGGCGTCTGTCTTGAGCTAATTCTCTGACAGGTAGCCAAAATAAGTGATACGTGACTCTTTTAAATAACAAAACTCAAGTTTCTTCTAGCTGAATGACATTTTGTGTTTTGTTTTCTCAGGATGCAGAGCAGGCTATAAATGGAATGAACAACCAGTGGTTGGGCACCCGGCCCATACGGACCAACTGGGCCACCCGGAAGCCACCAGCTCCTGTAGTCAAAGAGAGTAAGTTTTTCTTCATCTCAAACTTTCCGTTTTACTCCCTCTTTCTCTTTGATTTTGGCAATGAATTGTCTGAATTTTTAGGCATTTTTTCTAGTGTTATATCTTCTACTTTGTTCTTTAGTTCGGTTTCTTTCTACTGTTTCGAAATATCTGTTGTGGCAGAGCAGGATTTCATGTGTGCAATTTTTAGAATGAAAAAAACATGTAAAGGATTAGTAATGTTTGTTCAAGGACATAAAGATCAAAAGTTGTTTCAGTCATGGTACCCTTATTGTTGGCTGGCTTAGTACCTTTGAATGATAATCCGAGCACTTTGAGACAGCAGTGGTGGTTGGTTGGTGGTTATCTCGTGTGGGCTATTCTTTCTACTTTCATTTCTGTTGTCTTCATCCCCTTTCGTTCTCAGATGCTACTGGATCGCTAACAACAACAACATCCCCTTTCGTTACCCAAATATGGGATTTGCTTTGCAGACCCACCATGAGTTACATTTTCTGTTTTTCATTGTAGTTGTACTCATATCTTTTTCTCCAACTACATGCATGATTTGTCTATTTTGTTTCAGACACAAAGCCCCTGGTCTATGAGGAGGTGTTCAGCCAGTCATCCCCGACCAACTGTACAGTGTACTGTGGAGGAGTTACTAATGGCTTGACCGGTAGGGGAATTTTAGACATTGGACAAGCACCTGTTAGTTTGTGGGTTTGATCTCCAGCTGGGCTTGATAAAACATGTACAGTCGGGTGTACCTGCTCTAAGAGCCACCTGTCCAAGACCTGTACAAATGACTACCTTTCACTTCTCCCCTTAACATTTTTGTCTAAATTATAATGACACTATCCGACTTGACCACCTGTCTAAGGCAACCACTTTTTTCCAAGACAATTCATTGTCGTCTTGGACAATTTCAACTGTACAATTTGTCCTGTAGAAAGGCATATTGGCCTGTTTCCTCAGTCCGTCCAGTCCAGTTGCAAATGGGTACAGCAGTTGGAAAAGGATGTTAGAAGATAGTTCTAAGACTCTAGCAAGCTGTGATACTGTACTGTATGTCAGAAGGAGAGGGGAGGGAATGAGATGGAACTATTTAAATAGTATTGATGTGGTGGGCCAAGTTAGTTGTGCAGTCACATAAGCCTGTAATTGTGTGGATTTGCCTCTCCCTATCTCAAAGGAGGATCAGTACAAGGGAAAACTAAAGGCTTGTTTCTTTCATTACATTCTTAGGAGACTATCAAGTCCCTGGATAATTGCATGAATACGATAACATATTAATTTCTGTGTAAATTGACTGAATGGTTTGTACAGCTTTTGAAGTATATAAAGAACAGCTGCTACAGCTATTGTTGCAGGGTGTATCGTAATTGTGATCTGTTGACTGTAAAGCAATGAGAACTTGGGATCAGATGGTGAAGTTAATGGGAGTTTATTGGTAGACCGTCTGGCAGTCAGCTATAACATCTGGCGCTCTTGGGAAGAGAACATTTAATTGAACAAAGTGGGTTGTGGTGGTGAGGGGGAGAAGGAGATGTATACTTCTGATTTATTTTCTAGTTACTCAGTGGATCAGTTGCCTGTGACGAGAAGTCTGGGACTACTGGGAGTCAGCATTCCCATGTGGTCTGCCTCATCTATTTCTCTATCCTGCCCATTCCTTTCCTGGTACTGTGAACGCTATCATGACCATTCACATTTTCAACTCTGCCACTATCACGCATATTTTCAACTCTGCCACTATCACGCATATATATGCTTACACACTCAAAGACTTTGTTAGAACATGATAACATCTGTACCCTTACTCTCCTCCTCCCCCCCCCCTTTCCCCACAATGTTGGGTTATCTATGCTGATGAAGGAACCAGGGAGAGACCCTCCCTTGAGATGCCTGTCATTTTGGCAAGTTGCTGTTTCCCTAATGCAGTGAAAGCGAAAGTCTGTTTCAAGTCAAGAGACAAGTCTTTCTTCTACTCTTTTGCCCCGTCTTCCCAGGGGAGTCGGCGGAGTGGAGCTATCAAACCGCCGTCTGGTCTGACCAACGCAGCTAACACAGTTTTAGAGCTCAATTTGCAATGTTTAAAATTAGAGCCGGTTCCTTTGGAATAGACCTAGGGAGTTGCTCAGGCTCTGCTGTCTGGTATATTCATTTACTTGTTCCTGGAACATCCCCAGAGCCTGTTCTCCTCACTTCATCTTGGTTCGTTCGTCATCTCTGGTGTCTTTAGCGTTCTGAATTGTGACTATGGAGTTTTACTCTTTTCTCAACTTCTTAACTTTCCACAAAGGATTACGGTTGGACCTATGTCTTTGAAAAATGTGTTTTTATATGCGTTGTGCACATCTATTTGTTATAGGTGGTTTATAAAGAAGTCTTTAGGAAATTGTACAAACAATAATGGAAGTAGACAAACATAAATTTAAATGAGCTTGAATGGAATTTATAAAGTGAGAAGACCTTGACTTTTCTGGCTGCTTGTGTCGTTATAATTGTATTGGAAAGAGACTGGCTTCCTGCAATATTCAGTTTTATTAATTTTGCTTTTGGAAACATCGGCAACTTTTTCTGTAGGGGGCTGTATGCTCTCACATAATTTCCTGTCCAATTTGGTACAAACCTTGGAGCGATGTTACTCCAGTTGTTTTTGCCTTTGTTCAGAGGCTCCTCTTTCTCTTGTGGTTTTGTTGCTTTGTCCCCGAGGGGACTTGCTACTCTGGAGATAAGATGTTTGCCACTCATGCCAAAGTTCGTGTTTTGATTCCCAGCTCGTACAGTCCATAGATTGCTTTGGTGTTGTTTTTTCCCATGTTCTTTATTGCACCAACAGTAAAATGTTGAGTAATGGTCTTCTCAAATAAGAGCAAAAACCCTGTGAATGTTGCGCCTTTAAACAAAATCTCAGGTGGAAGTAGAATAGGCTATTAAGTACATGCCTAGGTTAAGATCTAAATTAGTTCTCAGATGGATTTGAATAGGCCATTAAAGTCCATGCCTGGGCTGAGATCTAAATTAGTTCCTTCCCAAAACAGAAACTGCTTTTCTTTGTATAACTAAAGAGTACCAGTGCCTCAGAAAACTGCAAATGGCTTCCTGAAAGGTGAGGGACCTGTATTCTAAGAGAAACATTATTTATGTATATATGTAGAAGAAAAGACATTTGACTTCCCTTGAGGTGTGGCGGAGAATTTGTAAAAACAAAAACTTTTTCTGGATCCTCATGGGTTTTGTGTTTAGCTTCTCTATTCAGTGAGCCTTAAACCTTTGCATCTCTCTCTGAAATTTGCTTACCTCTCTCAGCTCTCAAGGCACTTCTTCCATTTCATATCAGAATGCAAAAAAACTAGGAAGAGAATTCTCCAACACATTCTCTAGGGGGAAGAAATTCACTTAAACATGAAGGACTTCCAAGTCTAAAGGGAATCTTGAAAGTGGGCGGGGCCAAGTGTTTGATGGGGAGCGGCCTGTGATGGCTCCGCCAACACAGAAAAATCAATGGCTGAGCTAGACAATGTCTTTTGGGACTTGAATACAATTTGATTACAAGACCAGGATGTATTAGCGAAAAGAACTTCCTGGAACAAGCAATCTTTGAGCTTTCCTGTTTTTGTTTCCCCGTTCTAGGTGGTAGTATTGTTGTGGGTGCCTCTCCTCCTTCCCCCACCCCCAAACCACCACCACCCCTGTCTTTATTCAGAACTTGCTTCTTCTCCACTTGGAGTTCACAAAGGTTTTCTTACAGTGTGGTGGTTAGTCTGGGATTAGATAAGGGTTTTCCTGCAATGAAATGGTTTAAGATGTTATGAGAGAGTTTTCCCTGCAATGAGGTTAGATTGAAGTGTGATGAGAGAGTTTTCTCTGCGATGAGGTTAGATTGAAGTGTGATGAGAGAGTTTTCTCTGCGATGAGGTTAGATTGAAATGTGATGAGAGAGTTTTCTCTGCGATGAGGTTAGATTGAAATGTGATGAGAAGGGTTTTCCCTGCGATGAGGTTAGATTGAAATGTGATGAGAAGGGTTTTCCCTGCAATGAGGTTAGATTAAAATGTGATGAGAAGGGTTTTCCCTGCAATGAGGTTAGATTAAAATGTGATGAGAAGGGTTTTCTTGCAACAAGGTTAGCTTGAAGTGTGATAAGAAGGGTTTTCCTTGTGATGGGGTTAGATTGAAACACGATGGGTCTGACCAGTAGATGTGGGTTTGACTTGCACTAATACAAGATATATTTAATGGATGGTCTTCTTTTTATCTGAAATAGCACACCGCACCCACCTTACTGAGATCTAAATTGTATTTTTTGGGGTGTAAAGCAACATATTTAAGAAACTGTTTTATACTTACATGACTTATTGAAGCCCTAGTCTGAGAGATTTGATGTTTCTTAAAAGTGTTTCTCCTTTGCTTTGTTTTTTGCAACCCAAACTCTGAATGGGTGGTTTGATTTTAAATAAGTTACATAGCAAGAAAAGGAGCAGGTTATCATTGCTTGCCTAAGTGTGGTCTGCTCCCTCTCCTTTGCAGTGTTCCCATAACTCTACTCTATCCCTAACCAAATCCTGCATTTATGGTACTGTCTCAATGGTGACTACAATATCTACCAAAAAATCTTGAGTACATTTCGGAAAGAGCAAGGATCATAACATCTAACATTTCACTGTTATTTTCCTCTTTCCCTCTGCAGAGGAGCTGATGCGAAAGACATTTTCCCAGTATGGCACCATACAGGAAGTCCGTGTCTTCAAGGATAAAGGATATGCCTTTATTCGGTGAGTGCCCATTTGTGTGAATTTATATCTGTGGAAAGTGTGTGCCGGAGCGGTATGGCAGAATATAATGTTAGAAATACTTGATTGATCAATTGTTCCTCTTATATAGAAGGATGATTTTTTAAATTATTTATTTTGTTTAAAAATTTTCGCTTCTTGAAAATTAATGAATGTGTTAAGATATAAGTGGAGAATGGTGGAGCTTTTTATTTTTAAAATCTTCTCCAAGTTCTTTTTTATATGTGTAAAGAAAGTTTCATATTTTTGTGTGTTGTAATTGTTTTGTGGGTTCTGCTCTATTTTACTAGTGAAGCAGTGTAGATAATAGAAAGAAGTATTATATCCCTCAAAACATTGCTAAGTTGAAGTTTGTCGTGAGATGGTTCCCTTCCTTGCTGATATGGGAAACTTATTAAATTACTAGGACAAGTTGACCCAAACACTTAAAGTTAAAGCAGCCTGAATTGTGTCAAAGGAGTTGTAATGTACTACCGTAACAACAAACTGCAACAAATTGTTGCCAAGAAAAGAGCAGTTGATTGAAGTGATGTGTTCTTTTGTATCCAGGTTCAGCACGAAGGAGGCCGCCACTCAAGCCATCTGTGCCGTGCACGGTACTAGCATCAGTGACCAGCCGGTCAAGTGCTCTTGGGGCAAGGAGTCGAACGACTCGAACCCATCCGCTCAGCAGACAACGTCTAACTCTGTAAGTTTCAATAATCTGTCCTTCCATTTCTCTGCCTAAGACTAGCAAAAAACTGTTTCTACAGTTTCTTTATGTTTTTTTGTCAGGTTCAAAGTTTTGTTTTGTCAGTTTTACAGATAACCACCCGTACATCCCGTACATTTCGTGTGATGTATTTGTATTTGTGAAATCTCTACTTACTTCAAACAACAAAAAATGTGCATGTTTGATGTGTGTTCTGGTGCAGTTTATTATTTCTTTCCTGTCTGTCATCTTTATCTCTCCTCCTTCAGCATTTATTTGACCTAATTGTTTGACGTGCTGTAAAACTCTTTCTAAAACTAAAAACAGACAATGACGAGTGTTGTTGATCCCCGACAGCCGCCTGTGGTGATGGTCCCATCTCAGCAGCAACCACAAATGGCAGCTCCGCCAGCCACAGCACCGTACAGTCATCAGTTTTATAACATGGGATACTACCCCTCCAACCCGTACGCTACAGGGGCACCCACCTACCAGGCGCCCGTGGCCGCTCAGGGCCAGTACATTCCTGCCGGCCCCGGCCAGTGGCCCGCCTACTCCAACTACCAGGCCTACGGGTGAGGACTTAACCAATGAGTGGTTTTTGGGTTGTTGGTTGTTGTTGTGTTTTTTTGGGGGGGGGGGGAGGATGTCAACATCTGGGTTGTACTGGGGCTGGTTCCAATTAATTATTTACAGCTCCTGTCCTGTGACAGAGAAGTGTCCATTTTATTTTAAATAATTACACACTCTGTTAGTTTATCGTGGATGGTTGGCGGGTGCTCTGGTGTGGCTTGCTCCTTCTTTCCTATCAAACCTCCATCGTCCTGATCTCTCCTCCTTCTTTTTTGTGTGGGTGGTTGGCGGGTGCTCTGGTGTGGTTTGCTCCTTATTTCTTATCAAACATCTATCGTATTTATCTCCCCTCCTTCTTTTTTATGTTTGTTACTTCCTTGTAACACCTCTTATCTTCTGGCGCTCATAATTATGACCTTATGCGGTTGCAAGCGCCTTAAAACCTCTACTAAAACAAACAAAACTTCTTTTTTGTTTTTGTTGCTCTTGTAACTTCTTTAATCTTCGGCACTTATATGACCTTATTGTGTTGCAAGTGCCGTAAGTCTTACCAAAAGTAGTTTATCACACAAGCATAATTGTATCATTTTGTATGGCTAAATGTCATCAGGACTATCTTATTAGCATGTATGTGACATTTTTGCCAAGCATGATACTCTAGCAGACTAGCATTGAGTGTAAGTTGGAAATGATTTCCACATATATGGACTAGAGCGCTCTAGTGTGAGCTACAGAAAATTTAATTGATGAAATGTTGCAGGTGTAAGCGAGGATTTTTTGACAGCAATGAGTCACAAGGTCCCACTGTGACATAGAAACACTAAAATAAAAATGTATTTGTTTGAAGAAAGAAAGAAGTATAAAAATGTGCATTTAGTACTTATCTACCACCTGTTAGTTTTTTTCAAGGAACTAATTGCATTTACCACATTTTAATTTGATAGTTTATGATAAAGATGCCACGTGACGGTAGAGGTAAGTAATTTTCTTTTCAACTTTTTCTGTTAATGAATGGTCATTTAGAAAATTTGTGAGGCAGAGAGAGTAGTGTTTGGATGTGGTGACACCTGGAGCCTTGAGCCTGTTTTTTTTCTGCCTACGCTAACAGACTTTCCATTGTGCCCCCACACCCTATTCCCTCCCCCCTCCCCTGCTGTGGTCCCCAGGAGCATGAACGTGCCCATGGGTCAGTACACGGGCATCCAGGTACAGCCCACCCAACAGCAGCAGTTCAACGGCCAGGGCCAGGGAGTTGTTGGCTACCCCATGCCGCAGGGTGAGATTGACAGTTTTCCTATACCGGGCTCCTAGATCAGTGAAATGGCCAGTGTTTTTCTTACCTACCAACCCTTTTTTCCTTATTGTACCACACTTATATTTATCATTATTAATACCGCATTTACCAAAAAAAACTTTGCTGTTTTTATTGGGGGTTTTTCGTATGAAAGATCCTGCTTTTTTTTCATTCATTTACTCAGTGTGTCAACTTTGGGACTTTTTTTTCCCTGAAATTTTGCTGAAAGGGTTATTTTTTTGCGCCCCCCCCTCCCCCCTGGAAGTAACATCTTTGATTTTTTTTATTTTTTTTTCACTCTAAAGCTTTTGGACCCAGTTTCTGTCTACGTGGTTTTTGGTAGTTAATTATTAATTTTTATTTTGTGCAAGACTTGACTTATTGGTTTGTGATACTAAGTATTATGGTGATGGGACCTTGAAGTTTAATAAGCAAACCACTCTCATCTGGGTTTTTTAAAATAGAAACTTATCTCATGTGAAAGTAGTTTTGACTAGACTAAAACTTTTTTTGAAAAAATGTCTTCAGCTTGCTTTCTGAACCTCTTTCTGCCAAGAAATAAACAACAGAAACTGGGTTTAACAGTTTGCCAAAACAATAGCATCTTTATTGAGCTCGTATTTGTCCTCATCATCTTAAAGACAAATCAGCGACAAAACAGGTCATCTCTGCATTGATAACGCTCCATTTTTCTATTTCATTCATAGAAGTCAATCCTCTAAATTCTTTTTGTTTACTCTGTGTGTCTGTCCCGTGATATTCTGCACACACTGTTGTATTTTTCCTGGTTTTTTGCCTTCTTTTCGTATTGTGTGAGTGTTTTGTTGTTGTTTTTATTTTTTCACAAAATCTTCATCATAATTCGTTTGGAAAAAATATTATTTCTAACCTGTGGCTACATTGGTTGTGGGGTAGATGGATTATATTTCTCTACTAAATGTTTTTGATTTCATACTTTGATGTTGTATAGAGTAGTGGAGCTGTTTCTCAGTTCCTTCTTTGGTTGCCATCTAAATTCCAAAAAAGAAGAATAAGCAACTTTTTTCTTGGTGTGGTTTAGCTGATGTTCAGCCTTTGTGTTTCTTTTCTTTTTACCTTTTTTATGAATCCGGTACTCTGCTTTTGCCCTTTTTTTACTTTGCCTCCATCTTCAGCCGTTGAAATTTTTTTTGTGTGCAGAATTCTTTTTTTTTTTCCCTTTCTTATTTTTGCTTTTGAATATTGAAACTATTCCTATTATCACTTTTGGGTGATATAGTCATAAGTATTTTATGAATGTAGGACACCAAAGTTGGTTCTTTCAGAGATTTTTGTACTTGAGGGAGTGAAATTATTTTAATACAGAGAAGTGTTCCACTGTTTTGCTGTCCTTTGATTGCAGGATTGACAGTTCTGTGAAAAGCATATCATTTCCCAACAGAGACCTTCCAGTACTTTTTATCCACTTCTGGTCTCCAGGGATTTCTCATTTGTCCTTGCTAGATGTGTGATCTGATTGTGTCTGAGCCTTTAGCCTTGTTTGTTCACTCGTTCTGCCTTCTCCTGAGTGCCAATTTAGTTCCTATCTTTAGACCGTCCGTCTCCTTTCTTTTAGTGTCAATGTCTTATATAGATCCTTGAGCCATCTAGGCTGCCAAACTCAGATGTTGGTCTTCAAAATGGTCTTCAAAGATATTTTCTGTTAATATGGAGGTGCCAGGGTGCATAGGAATCCTAATGCCAGTTTCATTTCTCTAACTTGTTTTCAAGCTGTTCTTTAAGTCAAAGGTTTCCATCTGCTTTGTGTGATTCTCATTCCAGGGCATTAGATAGTATAACCTCCCTGCTCTTGCTAAGTGAGTGATGGTGCTGAAGAACTTTAATTTGCTCAGGTGAAGTTACCAGACTTCTCACCTCCTAATGGTTCAGTTTCTTTTCCGTCATGCCCCCCAAAGTCCTTGTCTTTCACCATGACATCTTATTGATTGCCATTGTCCTCATCGTCATCCCTGGGCCTCATGTTCTCTGTCATTCACTGTGATTGTAATCCATGATTTATGAATTTCTGCTAGAAGACTCAGAGTCCTATGTGGAGGGCTGAGAGAGAAGGTCGTCATAAGTTCCTGCTTGTGTACAGCTGTAGGTATGTTTGCTGACCGGAGGCAGATTTCTTCACCATGCCTGTCAAACCAAACCCTAATTTTTTCTAATGAGCACACTGACATTGCAATAGAGTACTGGTAATTAAAGCCCTGTTTAAGAAAAAAAAATTTTTTAAACTCATTATGAAATTATAATCTTTAAAAATGCAGTGAGTCGGGGGGTGGGGGTTCAAAATTGGTTCAGTGTGATCTAAAGAAAGAATATCATTTTTTTAAAGTTGACTACAAAGGGTCACCATAAGAAAAGAAAGGTGTGGTGAAAGATCTGGCTGGGTTTGCATGACATTGACCTCCTAGCAAGCGTGTGGTTTTGAAGATGTCAATAACTGTAATGCTTTCACCTGCAGTCCTCTCATGTGAGCTACTGGTGTGCGCGCGTGTGTGTGTAAGTGTATGTGTGTGCGTGTGTTTGTGGTGTGTATTTGTGTGTGCGTGCGTGTGTGTGTGTGTGTGCTTGGGGTGTTCTCTGGCTAAGCTCAACTCAACCTACTCATCACTTACTTCTACTGACTCTCTAGCTAGACTTGAGCCCTCTTCCTAACAATGTGAATGTTTTCTCAGTTGTGGTTTTGTGTGTGCGCAGTGGGTGAATAATATGTGTGAAATCTAAAATAATGTTTGCATGTATCTGTTTACAGAATAACCGATTCTGGGCAGGCTTTTGTGAATTTTATTGAGCATGTTAAGTGCAGCTGTAAACAGTGAAATTCTATGGAAGAGCACAATTAACTAAGATCTTAAAGATTTTTCATAAAAATTTGTGCTCAGTTCATGAAATTTGGCAACAGAAATAAAAACAACTATTTTATACCTCTTGAGAGAAAAAAAAAAGTGCTGGAAGAATAAACAGTCCACAGTATATGGGAGAAAGAGAGGGGGGTGCAGGGGATGGAGAGATTGAAAGGAGGAAAGGAAAGCAAAAAGTTTGTGTGCTGCTTCTGTCATGTAGGTTTCACCATCCCCGTTGAATGTATGAAGATGATTTTTGTGCTTGAGTCTGAAATGATTTAGAAGAGAGACATTGCAGTGAGAGGGAAGGCTTGAGTGGGGAAAACATGATGCAAGATGGAAGACAGCATTGTGTTATTTTGTAAATTTATGTTAGATGTGTCCGAACTCTGTTCCTCTCTTCCACTCCTCATCATTTCTTTCTGAGGCTTTGTTAAGATATTTTCATGTTGCTGAAGTTTTGGCCAGGGTTTTTTGTCTTCTGTGCACAGGTGTTCCAATGTGCTGGACAAATCACTCATCCAAGTATCTGTATGAATTTGACAGTACTAACTTTGATATGAACTGATGAATCATATTTATGTAGATTCTCAGTATTCTGTCTCTGAAAATTAATTTGTTCAGAAATGTAAAGCAAAATACTTCAGATTCTTGATTAAAACTACTAGTACCTTCTTCTTCTTCTCATTTATCTTTAAAAATGGACATCCCAGTCTCCAGTGTAAAGGCTGCTGGTCCCCGTAGGTCCTCCAGGCACACACCCCCCCTCCCCATTCATAGAGCGTTGGATGGGCCAGTATTCCAAAGTGCTGCGAGCACTAGTACCTGTAAATAGGTGTCCATAAAATCCTGTTACCTACTACTCAGTGAGTTTTCCTTGGGACTTTTTGTATCAAAATCATTATTAGCGTGCGCGGTTGAAACATTCCTGTACTGTACGTGGTTTCTGTGGTGGTTTGTCTTTATCGTGTCCTCATGTCTTTGTGACATGGCAGTGTTGGTCGTGGTGAAACTTGGTACCTGTGTTTTCTCCCGGAAGTGTTTCTGCCCTGTTTGTCTGTTCCCAGTTTCCCTTCCTGGTCCATGCAGCAATGCTGACGTTTGTACAGACCATTACAGACCATTGACCTATCTCTATATATAATATGTGTACGCTGCTAGTTTTTTCATAACATCTGTTGGTTTCAACGTTCATTTTGAGTCTGAGGTTTTTTGTGGTAGGAGTATGATTGGAATCTGATGTCTCCTCTGGTTTTTCTGAGAGAGGGAATTCCTGTGGCTTCAGCTACTCCTTTGTTTCCAAAGAGGGTACAGGAGCGCTCTTCCCTAAGAATTGTACCCTTTATTTGTATCTATGAATTATTTTTTAAAAATGTAATTCTCTTTATTTTACTTTGCTTTTGTTCTTATTGGTTTTTTTATTTGTCCCATAAATTTTCTTTTCTGATGTCTTGTGAAGATTTCATGTCAAAATGATCATTTGAATTTTTAAGCTTTGTTTTTCAGTTTTAAAAAATACTCTTCAAGATTTTGAAATCTTACAATATATAGACATACAATTGATGAAGTTGATGCAGAGATGACTGGTTTTTAGTAACATGGTTTTGTTTTCTTTAAATTTGTGTGTGCATTTTTCCAAGGACAATTTTTCTAGCAGTCTTTAGGTGTTTGTTCCCTCAAAGGCCAAATCACTGATCTAAGCCTGGTATAGGGCCTTTTTTTTTTTTTTTCTTAAAACATTTTTTATTCTTTTTCGATTGGCTTGGTAGATTTCAGTGCAAATACTTAATTTGTATTACATCTGGCTTCGGTTTGCACTATCCTTCTTTACAGGTTTCTTTTTTTCTGCTTGTCTGCACCACTGCTCTTGTCTTTTCTGTGCTTTTCTTTTTTTCTTTTCTTTTTGAAATTCGTCACTTTATTTGTCACTAGTGAGTTTTAGAAAATTCCTCTTGGTTTTTTTGCTAGTTTCTTACAGACTAGCGTTTTGGGTTTTTCTCAACTCAATGTTATTCGCTTTTTTTTTCCTTGCTCCTTGGCTTGGCATGTTCAAGGTTGATGTCTTTTTGACACTTTTTCATTTTCTTTGCTGATCCCCGCTCTCTTTCCTCCCCCTCCCCCCCTTTCTGGTTCTTAATTAAACAAATTGAGAACAAAGTGGCTGTGACAGCTGTTTAAGTATGCTAGCTGCCATCCCCCTTAGATTTTCTGTAAAATTTGTCAAGGACATGAAATAGATTACAATGGCGTTGAATGTGGGGGGAAAGGTTGGCCTCTTTTTAAGCCTTGTTTTTCGAAATTCAAAATATGACTCTATCCAGTGTCCAGCAAGCTACATGCACTTGCCATAACTTCTAGGAGGAGCAGGCAGGGTGTGCTTCAAATATGACTTGACTAGCCAAAGATACCTTTGTCCAGCAGAACCCTTGTCTTGAGAGAGTAATGTGAACAAGGTGCCAGTCCTGTCCTTGGTAAAGAATTGTTTCACCCATAGAGGGAGAGTCGGGTCAGTTGAGATGCTCTGTGGGTCTCCCAACTCTGGGCTACTGGTCAGCTTCCCACTGGGATCTCTCTTGTCTTACCCTTGTAGAGGGAGAAGGGAGTTGCTGGAGGGGGTGCTTCTATCAGTTCATGTTCTTGTGCAGCTCCATGAAGTCAAATATTCAATCAAGACATTTACATCTGCAAGTAGATACGATAGGGAGACCTATCTTTTGGTGTTTTGCCCTACACTGTAGACATAATACAAAAGTTCAAAAAGAAGGCACAGGTATCTCTGCTGTGATGATGCTGCTGTGTATATTTTCTCCTTTGTCTCAAATAACAGACATTCTTTTACTCTTTTTTTCCCCACTTTATCCCCCCACTGTCCTTACTTCTTTTCCTCCTCTTACTAGTCTTACTCCCTTGTCCCACTTCATGGGGTGTGCATGTGATGTGACACCTTGAATTCAAAAGATGCTGTGACATTTGACGTTGAGCAACACCCTCACAGGGTTCAATGAGAATGTGATGTCTGTTTTGTCATATATGACACTGGTTCCAACTTCTGAGGGCAGTCACATTACCGGCACACCTTGTCACTGGAGCATTACAGTAACCACCTGCTTTGCTTGTTTCTCCAGATGTATTGCCCCTTGTAATCCACTGGTGTGAGTGTATTGATAACTTTATCCCTCCCACCCCCACCCCCACCTCTCACCCAACGTTTAGCTGGCCTCAGCCACTGACATGTTGCAAAAATTTCTGTTTTTCAGCTCAACACCCACAGGTTGTTGTCTGGCTAAATGACTTAACAGCAACACCTTGAAGTTGGCTCTTTTTTTTTTTTTTTTTTTCATTTATGAAAAACTTCACAAAATTGTTATTTTTAGTCTGTTGCCCACCTTTGTTGAGTGGAGAAGCTTCCATTACTCTCTCTCAACTTCTTTTGATGCATGCTTTTTTTAAAAGTTGTCGTGTTGTCAGAACTATTCCTTACTTTGCATCTTATCCTGTATGGTGTTGGGAGCAGAGCAAAATGTTTTAACTCAACTACGTTTGTTTGTCACATTTCAATAAATTTGCTTTGAAAAAGCAATTTGGGTATTTCTGAGATCAATTTAGGACAGAAAATAGATTTTGTGATTGGAAAATTTTAATAGTTGTTTTTCTAAATTCATAGTCTACATTCTTTTTTCCTATATGGGAGTAATTGTGTGAATGCATGTGGGGGCTCTTTATGTTCTGTAATATAATATCTAATTTTTGACTCTCAGAAATTTGCTTGTTTTTCTAGTCGTTGGAACGTTGAACACAGAAAACAATAGTTCTGTGGTTCATTCTAAAAATTAACATTTACCTATTTTAAATTTAGTGACTAACGAAAGTCCACTTCAGATATTTTTGTTAACTAAACATAGCTGTTTTGTTCTCATTAATTGATGTACAGATATTATTTAGTAAAATATTAGACCATACTTTTACCTCTGCTTGTTTGAGTGAAATGCTCATTTTGCTGTCTTGAATTCCAAAAGCAGGAAAAAACTTTCCTTCTTTGGAATGTTCAAAGTAGGAGAGTAAAGTGAAGTTAATGAGGATTCTTAATCTCAAGTTGTAAGTTCTGAATCCTGAAGGAGGGGGTCCCCATCTTCATTGGGTGCGACTGGAGGACTGGCATTTTTATATATGTCAAAGAAAAAGTTTTCTGACCAAATAGAACTTAGAATTAAGTCTGTGATCCAGCCATTTTCAACTAATAAAAATGGCTAATAATGTGGTCAAATTAAGCCTCTTTTGTTTGTGGCTTATTTAACAACTATAATAGGAAACATTTGCTAGGACTCGTTGTTGTTGTGTAAGGTTGTTCAGCTCTTCTCCTTACACCTTTCCCTACCCGTACATCATTGTGGGGGGGGGGGGGGGGGGGGGTATTTGATAGAATGTCCTGCTTCTGGGTTATATTCGGCACAGTCTGACTTGGCCTTGACAGGCAGGATCAAAGCAGCCTGCCTCCTAGATAATCTAAGAGTGTGTAGATGGGGCAGGAAACATTCACTGCATCTTACAGGGATCATAAGTAACTGTTTACTATGACAGACAAGTGTATGCAAGCTTAAAACTGTCTTGAATTTTTATTGATTTCCTCAAGATTACAAGTAAAATGCAAAAGTCTAGATTTAGAATTTTATTTGAAGTCTTATTCTGTTAATGATCGCTTTATTGCTTTCCCTACAGTTAGGGATTGAATGTCAGAAAGTATGTTTCTGTACTTTAGTAGGATTATGATAGCAACTGCCCAAGTACAGTGCCTACAGGTATCGTAATAGTGTTTTTGTTATTGAATGGGCTATGTATATATCTAAATTGTCTGAAGTTATTGACAGTGTGTTCAGAATATTAAGTACCATTTTGACCGTGTGTTACTATGTGTCCTTCCATTTGTTGTTATTCTGTGTACTCTCCTGGTGAAAGTGTCAACAAATGAAGGCTAAACAGTTTGTTTCTGTCTCCCCCTCCCGTTGTCTTACAGGCTTCCAGCCGGCCCAGTGACTTTCATTTAGGTGACTAGACACGGAGACTCAACGGGACCCACTGCGCTCTCAGGCCGGAACATCTGGGAATAATTTGGATCAAGACTATGTTAGATAACGGATTTATAGGATATTTTGCGTCTTGGGTTTGCGACTCGGACATTGTAAGAGGGTCGTTGAGGATGCGACACATGGTAAAGGAAGGGGGGGAAAATAAAATGCCACTTTTTGATTGATGATAAGCTGAAGACCGCAGGTTGTGGGAAAAGATTAGAAAACTGCTGCCACGTCCCGGAAGCTGAGAGCCTGTTTAGCTGGCTGGATCAACGGGACTCCCCATCTTCCCATGTTTTTGATACATGCCTGCACTGGTGCGGACGATGGTTTCTATGTGTGAACATTACTTTATGAGAATGTGTGTAAACGTTGTGTGTGGAAGAATAATATAACATGTGAATGACATATGAATGTAATGGGAATGTGTAAGAGGGTATAATGTGTAAGTGAATGAATATATAGTGTTGTTGTTTAACTGTACATTTGTTTTTCGGCCATTGTATGTGTGCCGCTTGTCTTGGTTTGTCCACATGCTCACTTTGTCGTGTACAGGAGATGGATTTGGATTATGATGTCCGGTTTTGTGGTGTTTCCTGTTGCTGATGCTGTAACTGTATCATGAATGACCTATCCGTGGATTCTGTTGTGGAATGTAAACTTGATTAAAGTATTTTGTCAACATGACTGTATTGTTTGACTGGGTCCAAGTTGGGCTAGTTCTATTAATGTGTTTTGTGTTTTTCACTGGGAATCAACTGTTTGACAAGTTTCTAGGGGGAAGATCTTTGTGTGAGCTCGTGCCTATTGTATATTGCGGAAAAGGCGTACATGTACGCACAAGCACTCACACACTAGCGCATGCAAACACACACAAAGATACACACACAATGTGCGCGCAGTCTGATACATTGATTTAATTAATGAAGCTGATGAGTTTCTTGTTTTCATGTAATGATCATGCCATATTTCTCTTGAAGCTGTAAATACATGTACCTTGTTGTGATGTATTCTACTCTGGGCCCCCAGCGCAGGTCGTACCTGACTCATCCACAGACAACAGTTTGGAAAAATTCTCACTTTTCTTACAACTCCTGTGGCTGATGCTCATCTTTAGAATTTTCCATCGTTAATTAATGATAAGTTTTTGTTGGTTTCCCCGGGATGGGTTGTTCATCAATTCTTGGTTGTGTAGGGGATGGACAAGCTGAACATTTTGGTGTTCATTTCAAACCTCAGTTCATTTTACAGAGTATTCAGGTCGCATCAATATTTCAACTGCGCTGAATGTTGACAACTCAAGAATTTTTTTCTTCCAACTGGCAAGTGATTTGATTTGCTTATGTTTCGCGTTATAATAGTTGATTTTTTTTTTTTTTGTTTCACTGAAGTAACTTTTTTTTTTAGAATAGAGACATTAGAGCTTGTTTTAAAAGTGTATCTTGTATTTTCCTGAGTAGATCTAATTGGTTTGGTGTTTTTTTATTTGACTCGCATTTTAAAAAATATGAAATGCGTTGTTTCTGTGAGGGAAAATCCACAGATTGTTAATGGAAGCTGTCAAGTCTCTCTTTGCCAATTGTATAGTTTATTTATTTAAATTTAATGCAGTGCCTGCTAAAACTAGCTGTCGTTTTGTGGCTGTTTGTACCAGGGTGTTGGGCTCAGGAGGAGTGCTGTGTAGGGTTTTTCTACTGAAATGATTCTTGTGTTTGGTTTGCTGTCAGGGTCCGACTGGCCTGCCAACCCACCATGAGCTCTGTACAGATGACGTTGATCCATTGTGTATTCACAGATGACACTGTTCCATTGCCTGTACTTTCCCATTGATTGTTAGGAGTGATAGGCCCTAATGTTTTGTGATCTCCATGAGGCAGGGATTGAACGTTGCCCATCTCTGTTGTTGAACTCTCGGCTGTTCTAATTTTGTTAAAAATCCCTTTAAAAAGATGAGCTACGGTACCCTGTTCTCTTTCGTTTCTATGTTAGTTTGACAATGTTGTCCAAGTTTCCAACCTTTTTCTGAAAGAATATTCTACCTCTTGTGTTTTCTGAAGTTTGACATTCTAAAGTGTGATAATGATTGTGGGAGGGGGGATGGGATAGTTATGTTATAAAATGGTCAGATAAATAGAAAGTTAGATTGTTGGAAGAAGAAACCTGCCTTTTTATCGTTATTTAATGGAAAGTTTATTGTTTTAGTTTAATTTCTGTGCTGTGACTGTTTTGTTGGAAAACTGTTTCAGTCTAGCTATTCTCTATCGTGGTTTACGAAGTAGAGCTTGTAGCTCTGATCTGTCCCATTTGTTATAGGTTTTAGAGGGATAGAAAAATGACTATAGTTCTAGAATGAGGAATGGGTGCTTGTTGTATCCCTGAGGCCTCTCTTGTGGTTTTCTTCTAGATGTCTATAGTTCTTGGAGTAGTGTATTATATAAAATAAGTATGGATCACTTTCTTAGACTGAAGTGTTCCGTTCATGTGTTGAGGGATGCACCATCTTACTTGTTGCCTTGACAACTGTAAATAAAGGGCACTTTATCATTTTTTTGACCGTTTAGTTTTATGGGCTCTGCAGACCAGAAAGAGTTGATGATAGCTAAGACAAACATGTTTTGAACACATATGAATGTAGTCAATGTGTTGTTCATTAATATAATTGTAATAACTTGTTTTTGGACTAGGTTTTTCACTTCAGTATCTCATCTCTTCTCCATGTTTCATGTCTGTGTGGTGAATATGACAGCACATAGTTCAAGAGTTGATAGTGGAGATTTAGATGTGTTCCACACCTTGTCATTCTGTCCTTCAAGTACGAGGGGTGTGCGTTTCTGGTTCAGCAATTCAAGCACACTGTCCCCCCCCCTCTCTCCCTCTGTCCGTCTCTCTCTGTCCAGTGATTTCCTTTATGTTGCTACAGGGTCTCTGTCTTTGTCTGCCCACTGGGCTCAGTGCAGCTGTAGTGGGTATGTGTATCCATCTTCCCACACAGGTATGTGGTTAAGTGTTGTGTTAGGGATTCAATAAATTGAATAATGTGTCAATCCCCTTCCCCACCTTCCCCCAGCATAACATGCAGGTCATAACCGTGGATCTGTCATGTCTGTTATTGTCTTCTTGTTTGTTTGGCTTGTTGTTGGAGGGTTCCTCCTCTCGAGTTGTATGAAAAGAGCCAACAATATCATTCCTCAAAGTTAATTGAAAAACGTCTGGAGCAGAAAGAATTCCATTTGTCATCCTCATACAAGTCTTTTTGTCACAATGTTGAAGATTGTCCCCCCCCAAGTTGATGTTTTTGGGTTTTCTCATTTTGTTGTCCTCTTCAGTAGGGCCGATAGATTCTGTGGCTTCGGACAAAACGTTGCTCTGAGCAGAAAAGTAGGAGTTCTCATGTCTGGTTTTGTAATGGTTTCAGTCTTGATACAATAATAATGTGTAGGTGTGCAATCTTTGCCTGCAGTGTGATGTTCTGCTCAAGCCAAGGGACAGCTGTGTGCCTCGCCACCTGGTGGGAGCCGTGCTGGCGCCGCTGGGGAGACCACTGTGCTTGTCCTTGATGTGTGAATGTACTTTGTACCTTTATGATGTGCACTACAAGTTGTATGATGTTGCGTTGTTGCTGCGCCCACCTTTAGAATGTTCTGGGATTTCCCTGTTTGTACTAACTGACCTGACCACACAGCGTTCAACAACCTGTTTGTTTATTTCTCTCTCCTCCTCCCCCCCCCCCCCCCCCCCCCCAAAACTCTGAATAATGAGCCTCCCCTGTTAGACATCTGCTTTATACCATGCAGGGTTGTTTGTTTTTTTCACGTTGGTCTTCTCATTATTTGGTGGAGGAAATTCATCATAGACACAGTAAAAGGAAAAAAAAAGTCATAACTGCAAAAATGACGGAAAGGTTGGTTTTTTAATTAAAAAACATGAAAAAGAATGTGAGTATTACAAGTGTGAGTCTGCCCATTGCGAGTGTCATCGTTCCCACTTTTCCAAGGGTTGGGTGCCGTTTCACCTTCGTCATTTACCTGTGTGCTCCTCTCTCCAGTTACCTAGCCCACAAACCCGTCAGAGGTATTTCTGGGATCTCCAATGTTGAGTTTTTCAGCGGCGCAAGTTTCTGGTGTGTAGGAGAGTGCTTGTTACATCTGTATATAGCTTCACTGTTCGTGTCCATGATGATAACATTATTATAATACATAAAATGGATCTTTGTAATATGAATAAGTAAAATGATCATCCCCATTGCAGTTTTGTTCATTGTCCATTGATTGACATGCACACTCGACAGTTTAGAAGACACATGACCTGATATGTTGAAGAGGAGAAGAGGTATGTTACCTCCAGCTCAATGGTAAATCCTTAAGCATTTTTTTTCCCAGACACTTTATCATAAATATACATTTCGTCTCTTTTGTCCAATAAATAATATGTTGATGTAAGGGGTTTTCTGTTATTTTTACTTTTTTTTTTTTTTTAAACCGTTGTTGGTTATGTTCAAATTTTTAGATATTTATTGTCAAATTTAAAAGTATTGTTAGGTTCTGTGGTAGGTTATTGTTCAGGAGTCTAATGGTATTACATTCTTTGTAATAAACACTTTGTTCTGGGAAGACATTTTGTGTGTAAATACGGGCGTTGTTTGTTTTCTGAACTGTCTGGTCTCATTCGCACTGAGGCCCGCCTCCATGTCTAGGATGTCTTCTCTCTGTCTGGTCCAGACGCAGGACTACAAGACTTGGGGACTGTCCAGGTCGACTGCCCCACCTGCATCCCAGGGCCAGAGAGAGAGAAAGAAAGAGAGAAAGAGAAAGAAAGAGAGTGTGACTGACTTGTTTGGAGAGAACACACAATGAGAAACAACTTATGCAGTAATTGTCTTTGAAATAAAGAGGATCATCATCATTCTTTGAGTTGTCTAGTTCTTTGTGTGCGAGTCCTTTGTGGGTGCATATATATGTGGTGAAATTTTTATGGTACAATTTTGTGTCCTTTCGCCTGTACCCGAGTGTTTTCTTGTGGTATGTGTTTTCTTCGTGATTATGTGCTGTTTTATTATCCTTTCATATCAACAATCTATCGTCCTTATATTCTTCTTTAAAATGCTTTTTCTTTGTGTTTGTTACACCTCTAATCTTTGACATTTGGTACGTGAAGGAGGGCTTTTCATAACATACATGTGGTAACAAAAAGGCACATTGACCGCTTGAATTTTCTGGAAAGTCAAGTGAAGGTGGGGGGAGGGGGGGACAATTCTTACAAAAATTCACCAAGCTCGGGCCGTACCAGCACTGAACTTTGATGTCAAGCAGGGCTCACAGAGAATTATCTTAGGGGCCTCAATTAGCCCGCGGGCAGCGAGTCCGAGGCTCCTGTCGTAGTGTAGCGTCAGTCCAACATAATACACGATTCACCAGATCATAGCCTCAAGACCCCGACAATGGTGTGCCCTAGTTTCTGCCAATCCTTGCCTGCACGCAATGCATAGTCTTTCTATTCATTACCAGATAGTCGAGCGGGCCCTTCTGGAGCCTCAACCGACTAAATCGTTAATGCCAATAGATCACCAGGACAACGTTCACAATGTGGACATGAGGGAAACTTACTGTGGAATTTGACAAGAGGCAGCTACAAAAATCTATGAGGATGTCACAGTGCAGTGTTAGTGCAGCAAGTACATGCACATGGGAGACTGCTTGTGTGGGTGGTTGGCGGGTGCTCTGGTGTGGTTCGCTTCTTTCCTGTCAAACAGCTATCGTTCTTTTTCTCCTTTTATGTGTTTGTTACTCTCTTATGACATCACTAACCTTCGGAACTTATATGACCAAACAATGTTGCAAGGGACTAAAGACCCATGTGGTTTCTGGAAACGACGGGCTCGCTGAGTGGTCTCCAGTGCGGATTCAGGAAAACTCGATCCACTTTGGATCACCTGGTCCGCCTGGAGACCTTTATACACGAGCGAGATGTTCACTGAAGGAGGCCACATGATCGCCATCTTTTTCGACTTAGAAAAAGCCTTCGACACAACCTGGAAGTACGGCATTCTTCGAGACCTGCACGCACTCGGCATACGCGGTCACCTCCCTGCCTTCATTGGCAACTTCCTGAAGAACCGTTCCTTCCAGGTTCGTGTCGGATCCTCCCTTTCAGACCCCCACTAACAGGAGGAAGGAGTCCCCCAGGGGAGCATCCTTTCTCCTCTCCTATTCGAATTTAAAATAAATTCCATCGTAAAAACCCTCCAAAACATCATAGACAGCTGTTATACGTTGACGACTTTTTGATATGCTCCCGTTCGAAAAATCCTTATCTGAGATCTATGGAAAGGCAGCTGCAAACGCAGCTGCACAAACTCAAAAAGTGGGCAAACAATATCGGTTTCAAGTTTTCCCCGTCAAAGACGGTTGCAGTACACTTCTGCCGAACAGGCAGACGTGTGCTGCAGCCGAATTTGACGCTATACGGGGAAAGGATTCCCGTCCAGGACCAAGCTCGTTTCCTCGGCGTTATATTTGACAAAAAAACTCACATTCATACCACGCATCAAAGACCTTCGTGTGAGGTGTCAGAAAGCGCTAAACGCTTTGAAAATTCTATCGCATCCGGAGTGGGACGGGGACTCAAAACACCTTCTCCACTTGTACATCTCCCTTGTCTGGTCCAGGCTTGACTACGGCTGTAAAGTCTACGGATCGGCAAAACCGCACATCTTAAAAATGCTAGACCCAGTACAAAACCAAGGACTCCGCCTCGCTCTGGGGCTTTCCGCACTTCTCCGGTGGAGAGCCTCCAGGCCGAGGCCAACGTACCACCACTCTCACTCAGACGCACACAACCCTTCGGCCTCAGAATCCTTGAGGACCTCAAAAACTTACACTTTTCCAAACAAGACCTCCAACAATTTCTTTTCCCCGACCTCCCTCCGTGGGACCTCACCAAGGCAAAAGTAGACCACACACAACAAAGAAAGCGCAAACGCCAAAACTTTTTAAGCAGAATACAAAAACTAATAAATAAATACCCCGATGCGGAGCTCATCTTCACGGATGGCTCCAAAAAAGACAATGAAGTGGGCGCCGCAGCTCTATCTCCCAACAGTACACACCAGAGGAGACTCCATCCTGAAGCCTCCATTTTCTCTGCGGAGGCCACTGCCATTGACATGGCTCTGGACTCCGTAGAAAACTCTCCTAACAAATCTTTCCTTGTCCTTTCTGACTCTCTGTCTTGCATCACCTCACTCACAAAATACACACTCCTACATCCAAAAATAGTTAGGCTACAACAGAAAATTCACACACTATCCGAGACATGAAAAAACATAATGTTCGCATGGATACCTGGCCATGTGGGCATCCGAGGAAACGAGCAGGTAGACGACCTGGCCGAAGAAAGCCTCATCCCTTCTGCTGGGATCAACGACAAACACTCTCCCACAGGCTGACTTTAGAAAGAAAGTCAAAAAGTACACCTCCAGTCTGTGGAAGAGCCACTGGTAGAAACAGAAAAACAATAAACTGTATACTATAAAACTCAAACTGGAACAGCGAAATCCTTCGGACCTCTCTAGAAGAGACGAAGCCATTTTTACTCGATTGCGCATCGGACACACGGCCCTGACCCACAAACAAACATTTTAACATTTTTAAGATTTAACTACTGACCCTAGCCAACCGTACAGTAAACCGTTGTGAACAAAACTAACTTGTGTTTCGCACGCTCATATGACCGTATGCAGCTGCGAGCCCCGTAAAACCCTGTACTAAACAAAATAAAGAAGAAAGAATGTGCCCCGCTGTACCGCCAGCGAATTGGCCTTCAGAGAAACTTACTACACACGGCCCACGGCACTCACTTGGTGGCTGCCCGATAATCTTGCCCACACACGTCTCTCCAAGTTCGGCCTATATCTAGCATTTGTTGCCGATTTGCTCCCGATTATGAAAATTTTTATTATACTTAGGCTTCGGCCAATAGTTTGTTGAAAAATTGGAATGAAATGTGAAAATCGGTTGGAGTAACTGCACCACCTCGGCTTGTTGGCAAAATATCTGGCGTCCCCAGATATCGACCCGATTAGCAAAAACTTACAGTACTAGACTACATGAAAGGTCTGAGGCGATCCAAGGACTCGCGAGAATCGGGTTTTGTTTTTTGGGGGTTTTTTTTAAGTACGTCTACAGGGTCCTTGATATTATATATATATATATATATATATATATATATATATATATATATATATATATATATATATATATATATATTATATCATATTATATTTAGTCTCACTTCTGATCCAGCAGAAGTTTTCAATTTGAATATACGTAAAAGTCCACTAGATCTACCACTAGTCAAGAAGACAATCGATGATATCACGTTACACCACCAACCCCGCGGTACATTCAATTTCATTCTCGTCCTAAGGTAGGCTGTATAACGGGTTTTGACTGTAAATGTGTACAGTACTGAAAAAGGGAAAAGGGATCTAACTGAACACGCCTTTTGCTCACAACAAAACCCAGGGCGCAGCAGGCGGTCAGGCCAGTCCGCCTATGAATGCTTTGAACTTTGAGATTTGAGAGTACCGGAAGTGTAAAAAAAATCGCTCTATATCTACTTTTCTCGACAACAATTCGGAGTTTTTGGTAACTGCCCTCCAAGTGAGGCTGTTTCCCTTCTCTGCTCTCATGCTTCATTTCATTTGCAGGCCGCCGTGGCTTCTTCCACTCCGGTACCGTGTTAGGTGTTAGTCCCGGAAGGAGTGGATGAAAGAGTGAGAGATTAGAGAGAGAAGAGAGAGAGAGAGAGAGAGAGAGAGAGAGAGAGAGAGGGGGGGGGGCAGAAAAGAGAATCTACAAGGCCAACCACAGCCTTGTCCGAGGGAGCCACTCTTGAAGTCTATAGAGGAGGTGGGGGAATGGAGATGCGTTTGGTGTATTGAGATGCATGTACTTGAATTTGACATTACATGTATTATGATGCTCTCTCTCTCTCTCTCTCTCTCTCTCTCTCTCTCTCTCTCTCTCTCTCCATACTGTGTTGCAGAAGCCGAAGAAAACACACTGCTAGTACAGTGTATTGTTATTTATTCCTCTCACCGAACGATCAATGAAGAACGACATCGTATGTAACTAGTTATCTATATAATTGATCATGCATTTGCATATCTCTACTCTCTACGCCTCGATATAAAAGTACATAATACAATCTATACATTGATCACAAACACGTATTTGTTGGCGAAAGAAGAGGAAGAGGGAGCATAATTGAGAGCACAGAGGTTCGCTGATGTCCCTTGGGTCCCATGCTATCTGACACGTTTGCCAACCCTCTCTTGCTCCGATGCCACGACTATCATCTTACTCTCATCCCTGGAGCTTCTGGCTTGCTACTGAGGGCTTACGTTTTGACTCAGCCTACGACTTTTTGAGGGGTTTCTTACCCATGAGAGCTTGCCCCTCTCAGTTGATAAGAAGGGTTCAAGGGCAAAAACCTACCGTTTCCCTCTCTCTAATGAGCAGACAAAGCGAGTGGTTGAAGGGCACCTCTTGTACTTATACCGTAGGTTGTACTTCTTTTTTTTAAATTTCCCTCTGCCATCTATCAATCAGTCGAACCTTTTCCTTGCACTGAATGACCGTATTCGTGTCAAAGTGTGTCTCTTTACTCAAACAAACAATGAGCTGACAAATTAATGATGTACACTAGCTGTCCGACTTGAAGAGGCAAAAACGTTTGGATTTTAAAAATTTTATTTGGGGTGGGGGTGGGGGCAACAGGTTCATGAACGTAGCATCGTCACGTGAGCCAGTCAGTCTAGAAATCCAAGATCATATGAACCAGAGGTCTCATACTCAGTGCCCGTGGGCAAATTGGAGCATGCAGGACAATATTTTGTGACT